TTTACCTAGTGGATTCCTTAGATATGTGAGTGTTAGATGTACTTCAGAACAAATTTTAAAAGCCATATTGGTCAAATGCAATAAACACCTTTTCTATTTATCAAAGTAGGCTGTTTAAATTAATTAACTTGTGAATTGTGCACTGGTTGCTTACATTCTTCATTTTTTTGAGGGGTGAGAAACTAAGGAAAGGGGAACTGATAAATCACAAGTTTAATTTAGTTTAAAACTAGACAGCATAGAGTAACTGTAAAGAGAGATCTTGGTAAAAACTGGAACTACTCTGAAGTCAAAAAAATACATATTTTTTCAACAAGGGAGCCATAGCTGCTTCGTAGAATGTGCAAAATGAATTGTCCTGCACAGTATGACTCAGCAGAGGCAGAAGTTACGAGGAGAATGAAGTTAAATCATTACCAGATAACCTCTTAAAACCACTGCCAAAAAAATTGGAGATTTTTCAGTCTGGCAAAGGAGGTCTGTGGAGATCGTTTCCTAAAAGAGAGAGTAGAACCCTCCCTGTGAAAGGCAGGCAGACTCTAAAGCTGCACAGCAAGTTTTCTGGGCTCATTGCACTCATGGGGCTTTGGGTGCAAGGTCCAGAGAGTGCCCAGCTCAGCTCCTGGCAGCCTGGGAACTGTGGGACAAGTGCTTTATCTGCTCCCTGTCACTGTTGTTTTAAAACAAGTGTCCTGACTGTTGAATTCAACACATAGAAATACAAAATTCCAAATAGTAGAAGAACTATTCTTAAACGATTGCTCAGGGGCCAACAAATGCACTTTCGCTGACAGAAGCCATACAGTAAAGGAGAAATGAAGCTGTGTTCAGGGTATTTGATGAGGTCTCTAACAAGGAGCTCTGTATCTTGAATGGCTTTTGTGAAAAAGTTCTGGTGGCAAATGTCAATTTTTTACCTTCTCTGAATTATTCTTTCATGTATTGAAGGGATCACATTTTGAGTTAAGCAGAATTACAATATATGCAGGAGAGATATTTTCAGTTTTAATTTTCCATTCAACTTTATTCCTTGATAATTTATAGGAAAGAGAGAACAAAATTTGAAAGTATTTTCTAGTAAATGATAATTAGGTCTTACAAGTAGATGGCCAGTATTCATTTCCAAGTAGCTGATGGCTCAGGCCCACTGAAAGCATTATTTAATTGACCCAAATTATCATTTTTTAATTGACCCAAAGCTTCTGATAAATCATACTCTTCAAGTAACTGCAGGTTGCTTCAGGTGGTCAAATACAACTTTAGAATTATATCTTCATGAAGGTTTTCTCCAGTTCAAATGTATATTTTGTTAGTCTGAGGAAAAGATTATTAGCAGGAGGGTCTGATATCTAGTTTTGACAGTGATATAAATACTTTACATATTACAATGTTTTTTAATGGCTCTGACTTCTGAAATGTGATGGAGACTTAATTTTTAAAATATCCTTTTCTACAATACATTTGGGTCAATTTTCTAAAAACCTAAATCAAAGCAGAAGAGTTTTTCTCTTTAAGGCAGAATCCAAGTGAATGTCAAAGAGTTTCAAGATACTTAGTTCCATTATGGAAATCACAGCCATCAAAAGTTGAATAGCTGTCTTATATTCTTCTATGCTATATTTTAAGTACTTGAGTTCTATTGTGATGTGGGGGAGTTGAATAATTTAACTTTATGAGCAGGAGTACAGATTACAGTCAAGCTATTTGCTTTTTCATAATATTAGTAATATCTGTAGTGCACTGCAAATAAAGTTTCCATCAGTGTAGGGTTATGGGTTGTGTATTAAAAGATCAAATGTCATGTATTGATAAATTACAATAAATATAAATACACAGTAATAAGTAGGAAAAAAATAAGTTTCATATTCTATATCTGACAAAAAAAACCCCATTTATAGAATGTGCCTGACAAAGAGATTTTTGCAGTTTTTAAACCATAATAGAGATTTTATTTTATGGTTGTTTCAAACAAGTAGCAATCACAATGGCCTGGAGGATTTTTCAGAAAAGGTGGTAATCCTTCTGATAAGAGATATATAGTGCTTAGTTCAGCTGGCAGCTGGAGGGTGCATATCACACCCTTAAAGTTCACTTAGCTTTTCAGGTTCCAGGGAAGTCCTGGGAAGACAGGAGTAGTCATTTTCCATAGTGTATCCAGCTGGGGGTACTTGATGGAAGGGTTTTATTAAGGCATCCTTAAGGTAATTAATGGTGAGAAATGGCTTAGACAGACGAAGGTGAGTGAGAATTAGCTAGTGATCTAAAAATAGCAGCAGATTTTTAATAGTAGGGACAGGCCTTAAGTTTTCATCAGTACTAGTTGCCTCTTACTGTGATTTCATAACTCTGATTTGAAATGTATAGCATTCATTGTACAACTCTGTATGTAGCAGGTATTTTTAAAATTTAAAAATTGTTGAATATTAAAGGGAGGCAAATTGTGCTGTGATGTTCAGTAGAGAATGGCAGACTTTAGTGCTAAGGGTCTGGGGACTGTGGGGCAGGATGAGCCCTCTCCTGCAGAAGGTTTCTGGCTGATCAGGTGTACAGTACAGTTAATTTAGTTCTGATGGACAGTACTACAGCTTCTGGTTAGTTCAGTAACTTCAGTAGTGAAGTAAGCTGACTTCAACAGGAATGAAATTAATTAGAAAGAGGGCCTGATGATGTCAGTCAACTTAGGCCAGGAATTCAATTAGCTACTTCTTTTCTGTTAGGCTGCTTTCTCTGAAGAAAAGCACTGTATTTGCAGGTAAGTCCTTTTTCTTGCATGTGCCCTAGTAGTTGCCACA